TAATGTCTTTGGCACAAAGAGAAGCAGTTATGTGCAAGGTATTGCATCCAGACCATGTGGTTATAGAGCAGTTCTTTCATCCCTCCATGAGTTTTGGACCACAACTCCACTTGTATGGAAGGAGCAGATCAAGTGGGTGAGAAGAAGCAAAATGTAAAAGATAAAGGAAAAGCCCAGATTCCGTGATATGTTTGATGAAGACAAAACTGATAGTGTTAAAAAAATACCATCATTCACCAAAATGTCATCTTCAAATGCTCTCTAGCTCTCTGTTAGTTTTGGGGTTTTTTTTAATGGTGACAAAATGCAGAGATTCATGTCCACACTGAACATGTGACTCTGAAGACATGCATGGTTCCAGCATACATGTGTGTTCTCCAGTGCATGAAATCAGAAGGCAGGAATTTACCATAAGTCACTGAAGGTCCATAATGGCTATTTAAAATAAAATACCTCTTCTGGATTGTCTGATCCTGCTGCCACTGCCTTCAGTGGGGCTGAATAAGGCAGTTATCATCAGTGCCATGTAACTCCTCCCTTTCAAACCATCCCTCCAGCCATACTTTGTAAAGCTACAGTCAAATAATTATCATGTGTAAAAGTACGTGCAGGAGGGGATGAAATTCTCTTCCTAAACATAGCTTACAGCACATCCATTTAAGTGTAAATGCTGGGGTTTCTAGACTTGAAGAGAAAAACAGAATCAAAGGCAAATGTTTACCTGCCATGGATATGGAGGTTTCCTTCAAAGTTTCTTCAACTTAAGTCAAGTACTCCTGGTTAGGGAAGTGAAGCTCATTTTTCAGAATGCTGTCCATTTGCTATTTTCTAAATAATTCTTCTTGGTCACACTAAACCTTAAATTAACCCCCACTCCCACCCGCGTGCAATTTTAGCATGATGGCATTAACTGCAGAAGGAACAAAAAAAGCCCTTCAGCTGCCACTTCAGCATGCCCCATATCTTGGATTGTTTTTACTTTCAGCTTTTAAGGTCAGAACAGGCATCCAGCAATAACCAGCCCTAAAAAAGAGACTGGTTATCCAGTCTCTTTTTTCCTCTAAGAGACTGGAGAGTCTACTGTCTTAAAAAAGGGAGCTCTGTGAGCAGGATCAAGCTTGTGCTTTTGGTCTTGTAGATGTGAAGCTCTCATAAGCTGGTCTTGCATTTCTGGGCTTTGTTAAGCCTGGCTGCAAACACTGCTGGGGATGCAAGCTGGCAGTGGGCACCTGGAAGGCCTTGCATCCAGTACCTGCAAATAGCAGCTTCTCTTAACAACCACACAAAGAGCAGAGCTGTGAGTCTTCATTCCCTTCTAGATGGAGCTGGCATCCATACTGGAGTATATGTACAGTCCCCAAAGGTTTTTGTGTGAAGTGACTAATCACTTTTCTCCTTAGAACTGGCAGGGAAGCATAATATGTGTGTGAGTACCAGAACATAAAAGGAGCGCAGGATTATTTTCCATGGGAATCCTTGGGAACATCTTGGAGGGTGGCTGTCTAAGGAGGTGTTCTCTGCAGGAACATTAAACTCTCCTCCCAGCTTCCTCACCATGTGCTGCGACTTATCCCAAAGCTATTCAGTGGTGCATGGGGTTAACCATGAGACTTCTTTAGCTCTAACTCTCCACCTCTGAGTCCTTCCAGGACACTCATAAGGCATGTGCTATATTTGCCTAGCTGGAGTTGTTATGAGGATGTTGACACAAGGGAAAATATCTGCCTGAAGAAGAGGGTGGACTGGCACCCTTTGAAATTAAATATGGCCCAGCATCTGCAAAGGACTGAGTGGGTCAGTGTCACTGAGTAGCCCTGAAGCCAAGGGCTGAGTAAATGAGGATACAGCCAGGGTATATACAACTCATTTCCCCTGTGTACCATCAAACATCTCACCCAGCCATGTCAGCATTTCCATATTTCAAATGCTTAATTTAACTCCAGAAGCCTTTCCTGATTGATACCTGTGCGGGGGTTTCTCCCACAACCAGGTCTAGACTGGGTAAACCAGCAATTATAACCACTCAGACACTGAATAGGACCCTGTACTCACAGCAAGACACCATGTGCGAAAAGGAGGTCAAGCCACAAAAACTGGTTTTGCCAAAGTAGTCAGTCAACTGTTCATCATGTCATCTGCTGAGGCTGATCAAAGAGCTTTGCAATAAAGGGAACGTGGGTGTTCAGAGGGGATGGTCTCACAATAGCTGTGAGAAAAGGGAGGAACACCCAAGTGAAGTTTGGCTATCAGAAGGCAACTTTCTGAAATGCACTTAAAGGTTCAAACCTGATTCAAATGACCCCCAAGGAGGGGAGGAAAAGGTGTGCACAACTCCAGTGTTTTTCTAAGATCCATCCGCTTTTGTGCTCCCTGAAGTAAAACCAGATTATTTGGCATCTGTTTGTTCAGTTCTCATGAGGCCCTGGAAACAGCTGTATCAAAAATGCAGAAACCTCTCAAGGGTGGAAAGGCATCTTGAGAGAAGAGCAGCCCTTCCCTCATGCCAAAAGTAGCCTGGCTTTAGGACTAATCCTGAGGTTGCAGTGACACTTGCAAAGGTCCTGCACACTTATTTTTCAGTTTGATGGGCCAGGGCATGCTGAGTTGGGAACGCACAGGAGCAAAGCACCACTGCAGAACTGGCAGCAGAAAGTGAAGGTTTTGTAGCAGTTTTTCCTTCCAAGCATTCAGCACAAAAAGGTATGCAAAAAAGTTCAAGAAGCAGCCGTGCACCCATCTCTTGTTGAGTCCATATCACGGACTTGACTCTAGTGGCACTCCCAAAACCATCATCCTGCACCACTATGTGTGAAAGAATCACCCCCACCAACACTGCTCTCACTAAACCTGCTAATGCCACCCTCTCACCAGCGTGGAATTTGGGGGTGGGTAGGCTGAAGTGTTGAACTCAAGATTAGAGCATTTTCCTGCTATCTGCACCACAAAGACAAAGTGCCATGTGCTTGTGAGACTACAATTTAGGTTTGTTATCGTCCCTTTATATCAAAAGGAAGTTATGCACACAAAGGAAACACAAAACCACCATGTCAGGGGGGCTATAAATCACTTACTGCTGAATATTAAGAGGGCAACAGAGTGCCCAGTAGGAAAGCAAGGGTTTTGAAAATACTGCTTTTCCTCACCATCTCCCCATTTCAATAAACTTTGCTTTTATTTTGAGAGAGGATGAAGGAGAGCACGAGGTTTGAGGAACACAGCTACGAATGACACCAGATTTGTCCCATAGGCATGACTCATGCCTGACTGTGCGCACTGGTCAATGTCTTCCCGGCCCTCAGCACATTTGCTGCTGTTTCCCAAGCTGATCCCATGGTGTCCAGAAAAGCCATACAGGCAAGGGCACAGAGATGGCCTCAACTTTCTGTCCTAGTAAAATACAGGTTTACAAAAACCTGTAAAATGAAGAAAAATGGGGAAGTGGGATAGTCAGCTCATCTGGCAGCAAGGGTCCGTTCTGCCTGCCTGCTCTGGTCTTACCAGCCTCCAAAAGGACATCCTGGGAAGACTGCAAGGAGCTCTCCACATCCTCTTCCCCTGGCAGGTGCCCAAAAAGGATCCCAACAATTCTCCAAACCACATGCTAAAATCCCACTCCTGATGAAAAAAAAAACTCTGTATTTCCAAACTCTGTGACCTCCCAAAAAGTGTCAGCCCTGAAAGACTTTACTCTGACTTCAAATGTTGCAGAATGCTTTTGTAGCTCTTAAATTCTGAGCAATTATGATGGGGAAAAATACAGATGTAATCATTGCTTTTAAAATATGATTGCTGCTCAAAAGAATTATTGGGGAGGGGGGTAATTGTCTGGAGGATGGCATGATTCAGGACTGCTGACTTCCACTCCTCACTCATTCAAAGTCACCAAGTGAGTCAGTGGAAAAATCATTGAATTCAGCACAGTCAACAGGGTACCAACATTCATAATTAGGTTCCTAAATCAACAGTGTGGAAGATTTCAGCTCAAAGGCTGAAAGGCTTTACAAGTGAGAGTAAGTGAAGGCAGGAGGCTACATTGCAAGCCTGCAGTAAATGCCATCCTGAACTTTGACACTTCAAATTCCAGTGGTTCTCACACTAAATAAGTGCTAGCTAAAGGTGTAACAGCACTCAGGGAAGTTTATTCCAACCCAAGCAGAAACAAGGTTCTCTGCAACAGCTAAAGTATTACTCTGCAAAATAAATGTTTCTTTTGAATACAAAACACAGGACAGTCATAGCAGGCAAATCGTTAGTATGCAGGAGCTGCTGCCTTGAAGCTCTGCCACCAAAGGCTAATTAATTCTAGGTACCTTAACGATCGCATCACAGGGAAGCGCTACTCTGTGTCTGAGCAGAAGCTCTGTGTACAAACACCACAACGCACAAACAGAAATCACACCTCTGAGAGAGAGCCTTTTCATTCAGAAAAGTCAGTCAGCTCCAACACGCTACTTACAAGAACCGGCACAGTAACCTGAATATTAGAAAAATAAATTCAATACTTCAGTGAAAGTAATAGTAAGAGGGTTGCGCAGTGAGGGAGAGAAATCATTAAGAGAATAAATCGCTTAGCAGCTTGCAAACCGGCAGGACAGTGAAAGCAGAGATCAAATAAGAGATCTTGCAAATCCACAGGAAATGACTCAAGCTAGATCAAGTAAAACTTCAGCTTCCAAGCCTCAGACACATTTGCTTCTTACCATAGGGGTAAATATGTGCACACACAACATAAGCACATAAAAATACATCCAGATCACATAGACAAGCTCTCAAGTATTAATCAGACAGTGATTAATACCCAGTCCACCTCAGAGGTATAACCATTATAATGGCCTTTTAATTACATGATAGTGCCCTGGGTTTTTCACAGGGCTATAACTCTCCCCATATTCTGCTTCTGTAGTAACCAACTGCTAAATGCCACGCTCCTCACTTCAGGCACATCCATGCTCCTGCTAATCACAGAAATTTTTGGCATGAAAGACTTTTGAGGATGTTAGAGGTCTGTGCAATCTCAGCATCCTTTGGGGGGAAAAAACAGACATAGGATGGGTGGAACTGTGTCAAATCATTACATCTGGTCTTTTATTGTACAGCAGCTGAAGACGTTCCTGCCATTTCCTTGCCCCCAACCGCTTACTCCTGCCCTGACACTTCCTTTTGCTGCCAGCTCAGCTTTGCCAAGATGTTTATCATGCCATTCTGCAAGCTGCATCCTTGAATAACTTTCCAAAAGAAAGAGATATTGGGGGGTATTATTAGCTGGGAGCATTTAGCAGATCCAGCAGTGTCACTCCTCAGTGAGGGATGCATTAGCACAGCCAAGGGGGTGACAAACTGGGCTTTGCAAAGGAAAGGGTGGGAAGGGGGTGAAGGGGATAGGCAGCATTGCCGAAAGAGCACCCACAGTCTGACAAAGGGAGGACAGCAGGCTTGTACTCTCACACATGATCTGGTGTGATGGCCAAACCTCTAGCTGTGACAGGAACGAAATATTGTGCCACAAAGCTGCAGATTCTGGTACCACCTCCAAAGGACACGCTGCTTCTCCCTGAGGAGAAGACTTCAAAGCTTTCATCAGCTCTTGCCTCCATCTCATTACTAGCAGTCCACAGGTTTCTCTCCAAGTTTCCACTTCTGTTCCTGAAAAGAAAATTTACAGCACTTAGAAACTGAAACCCAACAGAGCAGAAACACAATTTCCACAACAAAATCTGAAGGCCCGTTCAAGACTAAATCCCATAGACTAGACTTGAAAGTTGAATCAGTATGTGACTCCCTTAGGAACTGCAGCCATAACGAGACTGAATATCCCAACGTAGTGAGAGCAGAGATGGCACATCTCCCTACCTGCAGTGGGAAAGGGATGCTGCAGTGGAGGGGCCTGCAAAAGCTGGAGGGCAAGGTGATGTGCTTAGGTGGTTCAGACACATTTCTTCTCCCAGGATTGCCCAAACACAGAAAACCTGATGGGGGAAGCAAAACCAAAACTCACAGCTAGTTATTTAACTTCATGGGCCAAACTATCTTTTCTAAAGTCACCTCCTGTTACCTCTTCTCTGTGGACCAAGCAAGTCCTGAGGGCAGATGTCATGGTGCAGCTATGAACACAACACAAGTTGGTAGAGTGTTTACAGTTATGGCACTGTTCATTGCAGCAAAAAACATTTGAACTGACCTACGAGAAAAGCTGTACGATGTTACCAGCATGCCCCCCACAGCAATTCTGAATGTGGCTCCAGGGGGTGATTTGAGCTCTCCTAGAGGGCAAAGTGAGGTGGGAAGAACACAAGGATAGTGAGAAATCAACACCTGAACCTCGGGACATGCTGCTGGGGGGGGCAAAATTAGTTCCCTGGGCTTCTTCTCCTGACCAGCTTCCAGACCACTCACTGGGCACAGGGCATCACGGTGGAAACGCTTCTTATGGGTCTCATCAGCCACTATGAGGAGCTGCACCAAGCCAGGCTGCTCTGGGACAAACCGAACCAAGCTGAGCCAGGCTGGGCAGAACCCAGCCAGGCTGGGAGGTCAGGTTGAGGTGAACCAAGAGGTCCAGAAAAGGGCAGCCAAGTTGATGAAGGGCCTGGAGCACAAGTCCCATGAGCAGCAGCTGAGGGAGATGGGGTTGTTCAGACTGAGAAAAGGCGGCTCGGGGTGACCTTATCACTCTCTACAAGTACCTGAAAGGAGCATCTGGCAAAGCTGGGGTTGGCCTCTTCTCCAAGTCAGCCACTGACAGGACAAGAAGACACACTCTTATGGTGCACCAGGAGAGTTTCAGGTTGGACATTAGGAGGAATTTCTTCACAGAATGGGTCGGTAGACATTGGAATGGTCTGCCCAGGGACGTGGTGGAGTCACTGCCCCCAGAGGTGTTTCAGGGAAGACTGGACGTGGCACTCGGTGCCACGGTGTGACTGACCCGCTGCTCGGTCACAGGTTGGACTCGATGATCTCAGAGGACTTTTCTAACCTAATCGATTCTGTGATTTTAAGCGCGGCCTGGCGGGGCTGAGCTAGGTCTTGCTGAGTCCGGCTGCGCAGGGCTAAGCGGGGCCGGGTGAGGCTGAACCCGGACCGGCTGGGCCGAGCCGAGCCGGGCCGGGCCGGGCCGTACGGCAC